TGGAAATGGCATAGACCATAACTCCTCCTCCCCTCCTGGGTATGTGGATATTGTTTACATATAAATGGTCCAAATCAGCATCGACATGTGCCAGTGTGTTGCGCTGGTCCTTGAGACGCTTAAGATTCCTCCAAAGTTCACACAACGAGACTGGCTTGTAACGGTTAAGAAACAAGAAATGTTTATTCGGGGATCCCTTGACTTCCATCGTAGTTCCTTATCCTATGTGAATATGTATCAATGCTCGGTCCGCTAACACTAGCGACTGTTCGTATATCTATATGTTTTCGAGATTTCGCTTGTAGCTGTTTACTCATACCACTCCTTTGTTGTTGATACACTTATGCTGTCTATAAGCAAATAGGGACTTAAGAGGCGTGCACTTAAATTTTCCTCGGAATATACTGAGCAGAACTCAACGGAATAATGAACCTTCGGATTTCCGAAATATTGCAATTCTCGCTCCCATTGCTCACATTCTCCCATAGGTTTGGACCATGTATCTATGTAACTCCATTTCGATTTAATGAGCTTAGGCACTTTTGATGCCTTTAATCTGCACTGGTAAATTACGTATCTCCGGAAAACGCTTCCTCCGTCTAACACCATCTAAAGGAAATCAGCTGTGTTTATATTGAGCCTCAACGAAGATATAACACGAAGTCCAGCGCGTACAAATGTTAATAAAAAATATGAAAAGTCTGATTTAGCAACTTGAATAAGTAATATATCTGTCTGAAAGATGAAATGTCTTGAAGGTCTTCGGCGGATATTCGTAAGATGCTTTTACGCATCAATAAAAATGAATTATAACGGACACTTCTTACTGCTGCATGTACTCATTATGGGAGAATAGAACTTTTCCAAATCGGCCATCCGATAAAACCTCATTTTGCGGGTCTTGTCATATATTTGGCTGACATCTCCGTTGTGTCCGCACGGACTTCATCCTGGTCAGCTGCATCTGTTAAGAAACTGCATGATGGTGCTTAAATGACGAAAACAATAGCTCTGCCTGCTTACATAGTCATTTTCATCTTTACAAGTGGGGTCCATGAGGTAATCTCCACTTAGACGTTTGAAGGTAAGTCACCACAATTTGACCTTTTACCTTGAATTTATTTAAATGCACTATTTTAAAGGCGGTGTGGACAACCTTTTCGTGATACAGCACCTTTTAAAGGTAATGGTGGTTATATCCTGGTTATATCCTATTTTGTGTATATTTCAGAAATATACATTTTCCAAATTCTATTTATTTGCGATTTCGATAATTGTTGTATTCGGTTATGGCCACCTTTCTTTTTAGGCCCTCTCGGAAGATTTTCCAAACGTTTCTATTGTTATAAACGTTTGGAAAATCCTTCGAAAGGGCCTAATAAAACCAAGTTGGTCACTGGCAAAATATTTTTGACGGTGGCATGCTTTATTCTATTTTAAGGCATCTTGTGCCAACATGCAGGAGTTTTCGGACTGTCTATTAACTTATTGAGGCGTTGCATATGCTTGATATCAAGCTCGTGAAAAATGATGATGGGCCAAAACAACGCAGAAGACGTCTTTGTCGTCCCTCCTAAATTTTCACACAATATTACTGTGAATGTCTGTTTTTTCAGATCGCTTTGCCGTTGCACAGCACATCTGGTTACGGCTGCATCCCTTTTCATATACATCATAACAAACGTTTTCATAGTGTTTTCGCTGCACCGTTGTTGGGGCAGGGATTTTGTTCGTACCACACAAGAATATGCAAAGGCTTTAGTTCCATTTCACGGCTGCTGCTGGATAACGGATATATGCTGACAGAATAAATCCTTAATGCAGAATGTACCACAATTTCCTTGGATGATTATTTGCCGTCTGTTATACGCCACGCTTGCTATCGCATTAAGTCGGCTGTCTCATGGACCTACTTGCTGTTAAATTTCATCGCAAGGGGGAATGTAAGTATGAGCTTTAATTCCGCACATGGATATTAACTCAAACCATGTCTGTTCGACTTATTCCCACACCCTCCCGCAAAGCACAGGCAGTAGTAGAAGGTTCAATTTGTGCTTCCTATTTCGTGCCCTCTCCGTTTCTTTTTCTTGTTGGGGTTCCTGCTAGCCGTCAACACGTTTTACTCATTTTGACCTTATAGTCCAGCAGCAGCCAAACAACTCAATATACTCATGCCTCTGATTAGGTGGATACTAACAAGCAAGTTTTTATTAGACAGCCTGACGATCTAACTGATATACGAGAGTAGCCCATTTATTCGCGAATCTCGTAGTTGCTCTATCTCCCGCTTTTGTCTCGTCTCGGAAATCCAAAAACCACCTGAGTGGGCGAGCAATCTTAGTACGTTCGTTGTTGGAGTACTATTCGTTGCTGAGGCGGTGAATTAGTCAAGTTGACATCCCATTGCATGTGAAAATGTCTGGCAATGTCACTTGGGGCTGCTAATACCAGTTAACAGGGAGACGTGTTGAAAGGGATTAAGTTTTAGCGAATTTAGTCCGAAACGCTAGTCGTGTGTTATAGTCGATTTACGTAAGTCTTGCATATTAGATTAGCCTCATTGCTGACTGTTCTTGATTTTAAAGCAGATGGTCAAGCCTGTCGATTTTGCGCGAGTACAATTGGGCTCTTTTAAACATTGGAATATTCAAGTTACGTGTGTAAGATATCCATATGTCATTTCTTTTATCCACTTTCCTTTGAATATTGGGATGATGCTACCCTAGAAAAGTCGCTTTGCCAGGCGTTCGTCAGTCGCCCGCTCGATATGGTCGTTGCATATTACTTGTTCCTGCTTCATCATAACCGATGTTGAGTACGCCCGTTATTTCAAGTTTCTGGGCGTCAGAGCTCCTATCTTGCTATTTCGTCCTTATTAGGGCGGCCTAACAACAGCCTTCGCAAGTAGTCGTTTGCAAACCATAGCCGTGTCCACAATAGGCTATTGATCGGCCTATACGCGAGCTACCACTTCGAGCTAGACAATCAATCGATAATTTGAATTTCTAGCAACATTCACTCACTTAGTCAGCAGCCAATAGGACTGGCCACTACCTCAGGAGAGCATCTTATTGGCTCAAGCGAAATTGTTAACATACGTTTGTCTCCCTAAAATTGTTGTGCATAGAACTCTCAAAGACTTCCGCTTCTGCTCACTTCCTGTCGTGTTCTCTCT